AAAAAAACATGTGTGCTTTTAACCAGACCCACCTACCAACGTGTATGTATTGTAAAAATTTGTAAATATATCCCGAAATCCCGGGATCACAATTTTCCGTATATTTTGGCATCCCTAATACTTATGCTAAATAGTATTTTCTTAGAAATGTAAATTGGTATATGTATGTATGCATACTATACTATATATACATACATATGTACATATATATGATCCGGTTATTCTCACCCGCTCCAAAGACAATTACCATACATATGCATACGTACCCTATAGGTACGGTGACCATAAATATATTTTGAAAATGCAGGACAATTTTTCAAAAAATTTACCTACATATAATTGCGTTGTATAAAAATAACAAAAATATACTACATATATACATTCCTCGTCATTTGAATAGCGTACCCTTTTTTTGATTTTTTACCATACAAAGTATGCTTGACAAAATTTTTATATGGAAGAAAATGCGCAGCACCGTCAACAAAAAAAATGTCGCCCATATGTTTATTTTTTTTTTAATTTTAAAAAATTTTTAAAATGGGATGTAGAGGTAGAATAGTCTATATTTTTATAAAAAGTTAATGAATATTAAACAAACAAAACGAAAACTGTACCTACTAAGTATTAAAAGGATGCGCTATTCAAGTAACGAAGATGGTATATTTCTTAATTATTAATCCAATTTTAAACTTTAAACATAAATCACATTTGCTTCATTGTTATTAATCTTTTATAAATGAATATTTACACAATTATAACAAGGCATATTACATATTACTTTACACGAAATATGAACCTCTGTAAAGCAAATTTTTTTAGGCAAACTTTACACGAAATATGAACCTCTGTAAAGCAAATTTTTTTAGGCAAACTTTGGGTCGTTGAACACGAAAAAATACCCATGGTTTCAAAGAAGTGTTTTCGAGATTTGTTCGAAAAACGTATTTTTAGTACTTTTTCAGTTATTCCTCAATATCTCATGAAACGACCAACAGTTCGAAAGGTATTGATGGGCTCTTTGCAAAAATATATATTTTTTGTGCAGGTTGTGTTCCGTAACATCTACATTTCTCATCAGAGTTTCATTTACTGTAGAAAGAAATTGATTGAAATTTCAATTTTTCGATTTTGGTCGGTTGTAACACTAATAATTTTCATGGAAATCGGCAAAGTAATATATTTTTGTAAGTCGCTTATGTTGATTGGATAATTTTTTCATGAGACATTGACGAATAGGTCCGAAATGTACCAAAAACACTTTTCGAAAAAATTACGAAAACGCTTGTTTGAAGAGAAAATCGGCTTGGAAAATATTTTTTTTCTTAAGCGATTACCACAAAATTTGTAGAACAGTGTTATCGATATATTTGATGCTGGTCTTCAATTTCTCGTCACCCATTGTCCATATCCGTACAATATTTAGAACGCATTGACTAGTTGAACCTTCAAAACCAACTTACCCTGCTTTTATTTCGATTAGGAAAAGTTAATTTTAAAATATCGAAGAAAATGCGGGACAAAGGCAGGACACTTGGAAAAAATCAGAACATTTTGGTGGTTTTCTGTTTTGAAAAACTACGCAGGACAGACCTTTAAATAACAGTACGGTCCTGCAAAAAACAGAACGGATGGTCACCGTACCTATAGGGAACTCAACCAACTATTATGCACTATAAGTTCACTTTTTTCACCTAGGGTGACTACGCCTCCACTAATTTACGTTGCTTTCAACTAGCTACTTTTACATGATGCCGCAGAAAAGTCAGTTTTTTTTCAGCTAACTACAAATCGGTTCTTAATAAGTTCACTTGTGGTGTGCCAATTAATAGAATGTTTTTGGTACTCTCGGTTTTTATACTTATTTTAGGTTAACTATTACCTGCAAGATAACTATTTTTTTTAGCATGTATTAAGACCTCTAAAGATACATATGGGTAAGTAAGGCTTCCTCAAGTGGGCCCCGAATTTACCAAGATTAATATTTTTTAATGATATTCAGGCAGCGCCGAGTTTTGTAGTCGAAAAGTACACTGTAAATTTTGTTGCAAAATTCCAAATAGTTTTTTTAATCAACAATTGAACATTTTTGCAGTGTTTTGGAAATTTTTATTTTTCTTTCAAAGTGTCCGAATGAAAAATTTTTTTGAGTGCAGATCTAAAAAAACATTAAACTATACAATCAAATTGTTTGCGTTACAAAAATATTTTTTTTTTTGCTTTTCAATCATTTTTTTATGAAAAGAAAAATAAAAAAATGTCCAAAACACTGCAAAAAAAAAACTATTTGGAATTTCGCAACAAAATTTACACAGTGTACTTTTCGACTACAAAACTCGGTGCTGAGTGAATATCATTGAAATCCCGTTGATTTTTGATAGTTTTTGTGAATTGTTATAATTTTCTTCCATACAAAAAAAAATTGTCGAACATACTTTGTATAGAAGAAAGGTATGACACCGTCAAGAAAAAAAATTATCAAAAATCCCGGCGTTTTCTTAGCCACTTGAAACTTGCACTTTCTTAATTTAGAACTTAATGGGCCTTATGAATTAAAACTAAGCAATTGATTTTTCTTAAAATTCAAACTTTTACTCGATTTATTCAAATAAATTTAAGTAAAAGGTAGACAATTTTAAGAAAAAAGCAATTGCTTAGTTTTTATTCATAAGGCCCAATGGGCTATAAAACTGCGTATTTGATGGTACACTTATAGCTTTAGATATAATCAGTATTATCGCACTTTTTTAAATTGCCATTTTTTCCAGCATCAAGGCATTTGCGGCCGATTCGGCTCAAACTTTCACTTTTCTTTTTTTTTACTAAATAGCACATATCTAGACGTGAGCACCTGTAAAAATCGCAAGTCGTTTTTTCTTCACCAATCCACTGTATAGGTACATACATATATGAAATGTAACATTTTAATAAGCCTGTTTCAAGTTCTTTAATGGCGATTTCGTTTCTACAAAAAATGTTGCCTTCTCATCGCCCTCTTCTTAGTGTTGGTGCGTGTAGGGCAAGGAGAAGGTTGCATTTTTCGGTAGAAACGAAATCGGCATAAGATTTGCAGGATTTACCGAAAAAGCTGTTTTCGCCCCTAATAAACCTTATGTAAGGTGTCGGACGGGAACAGCTTCCTGAAAAGTCCTGTAAATTTCTACAAATCGCGAAGTACCTAGAACAGGCTTAATATACCTACTAACATACTTATTTATGTATATGCAAGTATAACTTACGATTTTTTCACCTTCCGAGTAAAGTGTATATGTATTTGCCAATAGTGACACTTGGCTACTGAAATTTACATTATCGAATGTAGTCTAGAAAATAAATTTGCTATACTATATACTCGTATGTATATACTAACTAGGAAGTTTTATAATGCAGTTGAATAATCTTTTCTGAGAATGGTTTGAGCGTGGACACAGATAAAGCATAGAAAATATTAATCTCTAACATGGAGATTAATATAACAATACAGTAAGGTGAGCCTTCGGCAGGGCTTAATGCATACAAAAGTACCTGTGTACATACATACGTGTTTATAAATCAGAGACGCACATTATTATTATTATTATATTATTAATTAAAAATGTTAATATAGCAGCATAAAGCGTTTCCAAGTCAAATGACGCTATATTGACAATATTAATTAAGATCGCATTCAGCAAAGCCAAAATATATTCAGCACAACAAAAGTGCGCACAGGGTAACTAGAATGCATTCAGCGTAACAAGAGTGCACTAACCGTACCTACATATATGGACAATCTTAGCACCCAGTTGATCGTCGCGGTATGAATCTTTATTTCGTACCGTTATGTTACCTGTTTTCTCTTTTGCGATGGATCGGCATCTTTACGTTTAAATTTTAAATAAGATCGTGCTCTGATAATCTGAACGGAATATGGCCTTACCTAGGTAATTTCAGCAGGATAACGAACCGAAACATACTTTGGCCCTGGCTAAAGGGCACACACACAAAGACATAAGTGTTGTCTGGGTCGTTCCGCCCGACTGTCTTATGGAGAATTTATTGTGAAATAGCTAAAGGCGAGATTGGACCAGTTAAACCTAAAAAACGCAATTTTAGTACAAATTCGTGAAGGCCTGCAGTCTAAATTAGTCCATTCCTAAGATATGTATTAGCTATCAAAGGCTAGCCTAGAAAGTACTAAGCGCCAGTTTTCCGTGTGCCGCTGAATCTGAGTGTGGTTAAAACTTAGTTTAATACGCATCTACGTAGATTTTCTTTCTTTTGTAATATTAAACAAAGGTAAGGAAATAAAATACATGCGCCATGCAAGAGCTTTACAAACTTCCTCTTTAATATGGAAGTTGCAATTTATAAATACAATATCCCTTTTAATTAACAAAGAAAATAAAATAAAATAATAAATGTAACACAATCAATAAATAATTTATACCAATTTGTACAAATGTACTCATGCGATTCCCCCCCCCAAACATATCTACATTCATGCAAATATACGTATGTACAAATACGCATATGCAACTAAAATACAACAACAACAATTTCAGTCACAAACGCATGCGCATATTCTTCAAGGTCAAACTCATTCATTCATAAATTCAATAGTCATACATCTCCCCGCAAACTCATCGCCGACAAGCGCAACTTCTGCGCGAGGGCCACCACAAAAATTCTAAAATGTAAAATTGAAGAAATCACAGCCAGTCAAATGAAAGTTGCAACTCCGCTGTAAAATCTGAGGACGTTTGCAAAAATAGCTTATCTCGAGATTAGCCATTATTTCTCTAAACTTGTAAATCGCAGTGTCCTTCCAACTTTTAAATTATTAACTAGTTTTTTAAGATTTTATTTTAGTACATACAATTTTTGCAGAAATGGCATTTGATGTAAACTCAAAAAATCACATAAGTGGTTTACAACAAATGTAATTTGGCAAAACGGTTGCCTTCATTTTTGTAAACCGAGCGCTTACGATTTGTTTGCAGTTGACTCTAGATACTTCGAACACCATGTATACAACTTCAAAAAATTTAATTATTTTGCATTATTGATAATTGCAAAGCTCTGAAGCATGTATAAGTGAGTGTATACATACATATGTACCTATTCTGCGTTGGTAACACAAATTTTGTTTACTATCATGAAAAGCGTTAAACGCAAAATCGTACATTAACAGGCCTATTCTGCGTTGATAATTTTTTTTTTTACCGAAAAATAAAGTTCCTCTCTTTTTTTAAACCCCTTTCTCATTCTGCGAACTCTTGTAACCGGTAAAATTTGTTTTCATCTAATAAGCAGGTAACAAAATATTACCCCATGAAATATGCAACAACAGAATTTCTACAAAACTTCATAGCTGAAATGCCGAATAAATTAAAACGTCACCCAGGTACCTACAATTGCGGTTACAAGAAGTGGTAACAATGTTTGGTAACAAAATTTGCTGGTTACAAAATATTCGGTAACAAGCAGAATAGAGCTACAACAAGTTCATGTTGGAAGGGTACATATAACCTGCAGAAAAAAATTATCAATCGATAAAAAATAACCCACTTGTAGTTAGCTTTTTTGCGGGATTTCTATAAAATATATAACTTGTGGTTAGCCACAAAAAGCTAACTTAGAACTAGATGACAAGTAATGCAGGAGTAATGAAGGAGATTGTTTCCTCGAAACGCATTTTTATTTAAATATCCTGCACTTCGCAAATACTTTTTCGAATTGAGGACAAATAAAAGGAAGATCGAAATTTCATATTATCATTTTGAAGTTATGTCTGACGGAGTTCGACTATGGAAAAAAACAGCAGAATATAGAAAAAAAAAATGAAATGTAATAAAATAAAAAAATTAAAAAATATATACTTTGTTCCTTCTATTGATATTTTATGTCCAAACGTAGTTACTTACAAATTAGTTACATCAAATGCAGAGGTAACCATCCTTGACTACATCTAATGCAGAGTTAAACCACCCTTGACTATTTCGCGGCCATCGCCATAGAAATATAGTTAGCTTTCGTCAAAGAAAATATACAGATAATAAGTGAATTTTAGCTCCTTCCTAATCAGTTTAAAGTTAGCTTATAGTTAGATACATTTCCTGCAGGGTATATGTACGTATGTATGCGCGTAAATATGTCAGGACGTGGCATTTCGCGGGAATTTTAGAACCTGTCAAGATAAATATGGCGGCGGACGTGGGAAAGACGGAGACAACTTATGTTTCACATTTATTTGTTTGTTTTTTGCACGAATATGAACAAAAAACTGTGAAATATTTAGTCTGTTCCAATAGCAGTCCGGTTTACAGGATTTAGTCAGAACTTACAGGAAGTCGTTCCTATTGACATAAAACCTGTAAGTGGGAACACATTTGAGAGAGTAACTGAGCAACTGTTCCTAGTCAGAAGTAACAGGATTTAGTCCGGAGTTTTTTTTCCTGTATGTTCATGAAAAGTGTCAAACGATCAGCTGAAAAACAGAAAGCGGTGAAAGCAAAGAACCTTATATTTGTTAAAAAATGGAAGTAAACAACGAAATATTTGAATATGTATAGATTTTATAATTATTTAGTGATATTTCAGCCAAATCAGTGTAGTACCAATGACATGTAAACAAACCGTTTGACGTTTTTATAGGAAATAGTGCTTTTTGCGTTCCTATGCACTTCTGCATCTGTTCTCCTTTTACTCTCATTTGAGAGCGTAAAATTGTAGTTTGACAGTTCCACAGGTTTTAGTCCGAAGTTCAAAGGAACAGACTTATTTATTCTTGCTTAGAGCTGTCAAACTATCGATAGTCCAGTCCATTGATGTTTTACGATTGTCTTAAGGGTGACTATCGATACTATCCATCCATTTATTTTTCGTTATCTTGCTTTTATAAATTTGTTTATTTTAGCGGCTCACGGTTGCATTTTAGTATCGAGAAATATTGCTAGAAATTCACTCACCGTGTAAACAGTCAAAAAGCGTTTTCAGAAATTTTCCCTGCAATTCGCCTTTCGGAATAAAACAAACTTTCTTTCGAGAAACACTTTATATGCAAGGTGTCACTGCTCATGAAACTGCTTTCTGAAATTTCTCAATTTGACAGTCTTTTGAAATATACTGCATTGCCACGTCTGACCCGCTCTTAAGACGGCAATGTAACCTCTGCCATTTCCATGAACCAAAAATACAAGATCACGCCTTCTTTTTAGTAGCCCGTTATAATCGCATTTAGGAAAAAAGTTGGGCGACTTTGACATTAGCCGTTTGTTTCCATTTATTCGTTGCTTACAATTTGGTGGTGGCTTTTTACTGGAATTTTCTTCATTTTCGCTTGTGACAACGTGTGTACACATAAGGTAAAGGAATAAAAATGGTTATTCATGCGTTCAACAATTAAGCGAAGCGCACATTAGCGCGATTCCATCGTTGCGAATACGTTGCGAATTCGGCTGTTAACTTCGAATCCGCAAACGTGCGTACACTTGAGCGATTTTTTCGCGTCGATTTCCGATATACAATTCACTCAATTTTCCCTTTATTTCGTGTATTTTCGCACTCGGCGTGCCCAAATCGTACAAAATACTATTATTACGAACGTTTTTATTAGTTTTTGTACATTACACGTTTTTTTTCTTTGCCTTTATTGCTGTGACACCTTTCTTCTTCTTCTTTGACGCCTTCAAAACGCTGCAAGCCGCGTTTCGAACGCGTCAATAGAGAGGAACATTGAATGTTCGAAAAATTCGCAGCGACAGAATCGTGCAAGTGTGCGCTAGCGCATTAAAATGTATGGGTAGCATTGTTGTAATTTTTGGGCTTGCGGATTCGCAACGACAGAATCGCGCCAATGTGCGCTTCGCTTTACGCGGTTTTTTTTTTGTTCTCTTCGTTGTTTACTTCTTACAACAAAGATGGCGTCGAGATTTCAACAGCTAGAAAATTACTTTTTTCTTTCTTTCGGGAAGGCGTGATCTTGTGTCTTTCGTTCATGTGCCATTTCCACGTTTAAAAAAAAAATTGCGCTTTTAGAAATAATGCCATGAACCAACTAACATAAGTATAAAGGGACACTCAAACATACGCGGTATTGGAAGTGTGGTACAAGGCGGTACATAGTATTGTTATGTACCGCCAAGGCGAATTTATACAAGGTGGTGTTGATGGCGAATTTAGATTTTCGCCGAGGTACGTCTTAATGTAAAAATTATGTGTTTGTTGTAAAATGAATTCGCCTTGTTTACAACAAACACATCATTTTGACATTCAGTAGTACCGCGGCGAAAAATTAATTCGCCATCAACACCACCTTGTATAAATTTGCCTTGCCTGCATTTGTTTAAAATTACAAAAGAAAGAAAATCTACGCAAATGCCGAAGCCAAATAAACGAAATGAGCCGCGGCCATCTTTTTTTGTTTTTTCATTTCTTTATTTCTATCATCGATCACTCTTTCTTCGACGTTCTTTGTCGCCGCGAAATCAAATTTGCGGCGAATTCATTTACGATATTTGATGTCAAAACGGACGTGAATTCCTCTTGCAAACCTTATAGCAAGGCGAATTTATACAAGGTGGTGTTGTAAAATCAGCTGATTTATTCGCCTTGCATGTATTTTGTTTTTGCTTTTACTGATTTGACAGCACACCCATCAAAAGCAAAAACAAAATACATTTAAACTTTGGAGCGAATTGAGATTTGACATAACACCCTCCATACAAAATACATATGGTTGTCGTTGTTATAATCTAAATTCGCCAGTAACACCACCTTGTATAAATTCGCCTTGCCTTGTAGACTCACTGGCCACACTTTAGGGAGTTGTCTCTTACACCCGATTTACACGATTCAAGTACTTGAAAGCAATTCTTGCTCATTCTCTTTTGTGTTTTCTATTTGCTTTTACACGTTTCAATTCTGTTGAATTCAAGTTTTTGGTTCTTTAAATGGGAAGCAACGAAAATGCCAAAAGCAAAGCAAGAAAGTTGAAACGACTTGACGGTACAGACGCAGGCGTACACGTCCCTTTTCTTCTCAACCCCTCTCTTCCACATGCGAGCAGAATTGAATTCAATACTTGAACTGTGTAAAAGCAGTCTTATAGATTTACGTTCTTTGCTAATACGATTCTTTGGCGGCACATTTTCAACTAAGAAAGAAACATATTTTTCTGAGTGTACTTTTTAGTACACGATGCAACCCTGCGTATCATCAAAATCAACGCTGCGCATTCGTACGCCATTTTCTTCAGCGTTGCTTTCACATTTATCTCATTCTTTTTCCGGTCGTCGACTCGTGCGGTTGTGTTTTTTGGGCATCGCAGGATTTTTAGTAGAATATTTTCCTAGATACATATCTGGAGAGTGTGTGTGTGTTTGAAGGTGAAAATATTTTTTAGCCGACATGGATGGTGGAATAAAAGCTGAAGGAGTAAATGGTGCTGCTCCATTACCTCAAAGAGCCCAGAAAAATATGCAGCAAGGCAATAAAAAGCCGAATTTAAATGTTCAGCAGCAAAAGCAGAATGACAATGTCGATGGGGCACCGGCGGAGAAAAAACCACGTTTTAACCAGAATGGTCCAAATCAAAACCAAGGTGGTGGTGGACCCGGTGGTGGTAACCAGAATAAAGGAGGTTTCGGAAATCAGAATAGAGGAGGATTTGGTGGGAATCGTAATCGTAACCAGCAGCAAAATCGTGGGAACCAGAATCAGAACCCAGGCAACTTAAATAATCAGGTATGTAAGATTTTTTAATACATATATGGTTGTAAAATAGCTGCCTTGATTCGATTAATGTATCTCAGCAAGTTTTTCTAGTTGAATAGCGTTTGTGAATTACATGATTTAAACAAAATTATCCAATTAAAATTGTGAAAATTTTGAGGGGACAAGTCTATGAAAAATCGATACTGAAAATTTTCTCAAAATGGCGAAAGCAAAATGGCGGCCTTTCGTCGGCCATTCGTGAAGACAAGTCTTGGCAACTTCTCTTTCTATCAGCCGAATTGCCAACGTCAATTTTTTGACATACAAACATTTTGCTTTGTTCTTTGTCGCATATTCGCGAATTGTATATATGTTTGTAAAATAAAATCGTGGTCACAAATATGCGGTAATATACACTTGATTAAAGGAGGCAGCAATTAAGTTTATATAATTTTTGCCATTTATATATCGGCTTAACACTTACGTAAATTACTTTCAGGGCGTGTTCAATTTGCCCACATTTGTAAAAAGATAAAATTAATAATGGGCATGTTTTATTCAACCATCACAAGCAAATAGCTAAATCTTGGTCAAATAAAACGAACTTGGCTAATTTCCTATGTTAGATGAATTTTGATAGTTGTTTGACTGCAAGTCCCGTCTCCATAGGATAAAGTTTATATCCACAGGATCTCCACAGGATAAAGTTTATATCTTGATACATATGTTAGTCAATGGAGACCGCTCATTGCTCTTCAAGAGCAATATATATTAGAGCTTATATCTTCCCATCTATTGCCGGCAATTTGGTAGTGTGACAGCTACATGTTCATTTGCATGAAAACCTCGTGGCGCAACATTATTGATATTTTAATATAAACGCAAATATTGGGCTGTCTTCTGTTAAAATATTGGGGAAACTCTATTATGGCCGTTCGTTAAAGGTGCGGTGGTCGAAGGGGGAGTGGGCGTGGCACCTCCAACCGGCCTTTTTGCAGAGGGCATGAACCGCCATTGACAAAAATGCCACCCCCGCCCACCTACGGCCAAAAATCGCAATTTTTTACTTGCGTCCACAGTAAAATTATCAAACATTATTTTATATGGAGAAAAGGAGCGACACCTTCAACAAAAAAAGTGCTAAAAATCAATGGTAAGTCCTAGCTCAACCTCAACTTGCACTTTGTTATACTAAAATTGAATGGGCTAAATATTCAAATTTTTTCTAGAGAGCGTAAATAAAAAGTGCAATATTTGAATGAAATTATGCAGAATTTTCTTTAATTTTGCACAAGGTTTGGAACTCTGATGTTTGGGGTTTTTATTGTAGAAGTAACCATATTTTTATAAAAAATTATTGAAAAATATAATATTTGAAAAATAGTTGCCAGTATTGTAAAAAAATCGCTGTACCTAAACTCTATTGACTGACGGTATATAAAAATCTGTATATAAAAATGTATTGTGTAAAAGAATATTTAACATTTTTCAAGCGAATAAACGCAAATGAAAGTTGTGATTTTTGGCAATTTTTCTAAGGGGTCCGTAGGGAACCATAGGGGACCTTGGTGGTCGGGGGTTGTATTTTTGTCAATGGCGGTTCATTCCCTCCAAAAAGGTGGGTTAGAGGTGCCACGCCCACTTACCTTTCGCCCATCGCCCCTTTAACGAACGGCCATAAAGGAAAGCCAACCCAAAATATTAGTTATTATGTAATTGGATGTAAAATAGCCTATTTTCTAAATTTTGTAAGTGATTAAATCCTGCAAAAATACGTTTTAGAAGCTATTTCACAAATGGTTATAGCCGTGTTTTATTATGGAGGACTTACCCAACATAATTATATTGGCTTATGAAAAGCTATCTTGGCTTGTATATTGAACAAGAGGCATTGCCATTGAGCATCAGAAATTTTCCCCTTCAGCCAATCAGAAAGAGGAAAAAACTCACTTTGACACTGTCATTGTTGTACAATCTCGGTACTACGAAAAAGGTGTACAGAATAAAGCAAAGCTGTGTAGAGAGTATAATATACATATTTAGAGTATTCACATATTTGCTGAATAATAATTGAAGCGCCCTGGGAACACTCTTACCCTAGTCTTTATTCATCGACTTTCATGATTCTTGAATAAGAAGAACGGAAAGAGCAACATAGACAAAAATAACTAGAAAAACGAAAATCGAAGATTTAGGTACACTAGGTCAGTTAAAAGACCCGGTCCATTGAACAAGTTAAGAACGAAACGACCAACTCTACTTTTAAGGTACTGTGTTGAATACATTTTGCCCGTGAACACCCAAAAGCGCACAAAACATTTTAGGATGTCAAGAGTGGTATTCTCTGAGTCTTGCAAAGCCCTTGCACGGTGTATATGTATATACGTTTGTAAACATCCTCGCCAAGTTTCACGAGAAAATGTATTACAGCTTTGCTAAAACACCCAAAAGCCAATGTAATGGAAAGCCAACCCGAAGAAATAATTGCATCAAACTCAGGTTACCTGGGATGAACAAATTCCAGGATTGTGGTTGAGAAAATAAATAATAGGCATCGCTGTTTGAGATAATTACAAAGCAAATGTGCTATTTTTCACTGAAGGTAGTCTTAAATGATGTAAACGAAGTACATGTTAAGAAGGATGATATACAGTATCGGTCATATCAATATAGCACCCCCATTTAAAAGTGATTTTGTTTGACATATATGTTTATTTATTTACTTTTAAAAAATTACAATTAAAACTAGGGACATAACAAATATGTTTGCGATAACACGTTTCATAGAGGGTATTTGACATGATACAAATATTTAAAGTTAGTTTCACTTCGCTATTGGTCCCATTTGACGTGAACTGTGCTTTTGACATTTTATTTTCAGTTGACGGTACTAGATTCTTTGAAGTGGTTTTTTACTTAAAAAAAATATATATATTTCAAAAATTATTTAAAAAAAAAATATATATTTTTTTTTCGCATATTATTTTAGCGAATTTTTAGTGATTATATCTAAAATTTAATATAAAACTAAAGGCAAGAAAAATACTGGAATTGTGGAATGCACATGAAGAATCTATTTTAGCCTGTTCCCGTACTTCACGATTTGCAGGTTTTACAGGAACAACTGTTTTCGCCTTTAATAAAATTTATGTGAACGCGGCGTACGGGAACGACATTGGACTAAATCCTGCAAAACCTGCAAATCGTAGACGTTCTCGGAAGAACATTTTCAGCCTCGGGATGGATGTGCCCAATCCAAGCGAAACTAGGTACTAGCAGCAGTAGAACGAGTAGTTTATTTGTCTATAAACTATAACAAGGAGCTCTAAGAATTAGGAGTTTTTTTTATCGCCTCTTCATCACTACATCCTGCATTATCAAAAATAAATTCATGCTTCCGCGTCGCTTTCATTGACGGCAAGATACTTTTTAACAATTCCATTGTTCATATTTCCACTAAAGGGGATCCAAATTGAAGCAAAATCTTAATATTCAAATTTCTTAAAAGGCCAGATATAATACTATTTCATGTAACACTGCAGATAATGCCAATTTTTTTCGGTAAGGCAATTGAAGGTATTTTAAATCTATAGACACTAATTAACAACTCCGCTAATACGCTGATAAAAGTAAATTTTCCTTGCGTACTATTATTTTTTTAATGCATAAAAAGTTCAAAAAAATATTAAAATTTCCAAAACCCATAATTTGTTTAGGTGGCAGTGCTACTTGAACAATTTACGAAAAGTATAAACGTCATAAGCACAGTAAAAAAAAAAAATCGAAGTGAAACTACCTTTTTTTTGTATCATGTTATTTGATGAGATATATTTTTTATTTCATCGATAAGAGTTATAACCAGACGTTTATTTTTTTTGTTGCCTGATAACTGCTATACCGGAGAAATATTTTATCCGTTACCGACAAGAGTTATTTCCCAACATTTATTTTTTACGGTGGTTGATAAACGATGTAATGGATATTGAAGTGGAAATAGAGAATAACATAAAGATGATGGAAATAAAAGTCAGAGAATGAAATATCTTTTATCAAACAACGTAAAAATAAACGTCGGACAATAACTGTTATCAACGTTAAAAATAAATGTTGGGTTATAACATTTATGGCTGAAACAAAAAATATTTCTCGTTTAATAACTGTTATGAAACAACGTTTTCGTTAAATTTCAGAATTTCAATTTCAATTGGTAAACTCGAGTTGAAAGTTATTTTTGGTCCCTCATTAAAATGCAGTTAATTTTCTGACAAATTGTATAACCCATTATTATATAATAAACTGCGCATTTCAAACTTTGTACAATAATTAGAAAAATTCAACAAATTTTCGCATAATTTGTCAACTTTTTATTCAAACATTTTGGGTAGACAGCTTTATAGCCAATTAAATTCTATGCAGTGTCTATACACACGCGCCACGGTAACTTTTACAGTAGATCCACGGTAAAAAATTACCGTATATCCACGGTAAAAACTGCCTTTTTAACAGTGGATCTACGAAGAAAATTACCGTGGATCCGAAGCTATCTATCTTTTTGTGTAAACTATAAAGATCTCAGATTTAAATCTACGGTAATTTGTGAATAAATTCCAAAGCATTTGTGAAAGCTGGTTCCCATTTGCTTTTTATATTGGTTTGAAGTTGTGAATTCAAGGTTCAAAAATTAACGGAAGAAAAAACATTAATTTTTTCATCTTTTTATAGAGATATTTTACGATTTTTCATATAAGTTGCGTAGTAAATTTATTCAAATATAGTAAACTAGATAACACAATAATAAACCTTACAGCAAAACCAGAGCAAACCAAATCAACCTAACCAACAAAATCAACCCAACCCACAAAATCAACCTAACCAACAAAATCCACCGAATCAACCAAATCAAACTCCAGCAGATGCAAAGCCTGCAGTTGACGGAAATCAGGCAGCAGCTAAGAAGGATCAAGGAGGACCACCTCAACCACTACAGCAGCAACAGCAACCGTCACAACCA